AAAGAATGAAACTGGAATAACATCAACAACAACAACACAATCTCTCATCTCTCTCTCTCTCATGTGAAATTCTAGGGTTTATGCTCTTTCGGGTTCGTAGGTTACGTTTATGACGTGTGTAATAGCATAGTATTATCGTCTCTAAAGTCGATGGTTTGATATCTTCCCATCTTAAACCAATATCTCTCAATTTATCCTATCTTACAATTATTTAATTAAATATCAAACACACATATTAAATGTGAGTAACAAACATCATAATCTCAATCAAACACTGCCTAAATGAATAGGTGCAAATTAAAAATGGAATATTCTTTTAATTTAATAAGAAAAATGTCAATTTGAGTGTAGATTGAATTAACTTTTAACCAATCACATGTACTAAATATAACTTTTGAATATAATTGATAATTAAGAAGATCAGTACCTCTATATTTCTAACATACCTAACTTTGGCTAGTGTCCTTGAATGATCTATTTGATTTTATTAAAAAATATATATATATATATTTAGTTCAGTGCTCGTGGGTATTAAAGATTTCATATTGAAAAGAAAATGAACCTGGGCAAAGGTTTATAATAAACATCGACTATTTCTCTCGTTGTTAATTATTATTGAGATGAAACTCCATGAAAATTGATTTGGTATAAACATTATTTTTGGATTCAAGAAAAGATTTAAATCTTTATAAATAAATAATTTTAGGAAGGGTTGAATGTTGAAGTACTTTTAGGGTTAGCAGTAGGACATGGTTCAAATAATATATATAAAACGAGTTTCAAAGATCTGCCGTCCTAATTTAGTGTAGGAATTGAAAATCTACAAAACATCGTATATTAGGTAATACCAAATTTGAATATTTTTTCCTTTTTTTTTTTTTTTTTTGTGAGATCTTTCAATATTTGAAGGAATGGTTGCAGAGATTGGGTCTTATTTAAAAATAATTGAATTGAACTTCGATCACAAAAGATATATTCGTAAATAAATTATTGATATCCAATCAAATATAAGATCAGCTTTTTCTTTTTGACAGGAAATATAACATCAATTAATTATAATATTGGTTATAAGAATTTAAATCGACCGTGGTTTTAAATGATGATTTAAAAAAGGACCATATCTTAACTTATTATTTAGTTTTGTTGACCTTAAATTGAACCAAGAATGTTCATTTCTTCATTTTGTCGATCCAAATTTATTTAAATTTTTCTTTCCAAATCTTATAATATTAAATTGGTTTTAGTGTCTATTTAGTAGATATATTATCCAATGACTTAATTACGCCGTTTGGACTTTTTCTGTTTATTTTTAACGCCTATAAAATCCCAAATTCAAAACAAAAAAGAAGATTTCTTTTTCAAAAAATTATTTCTCAAAATCTAAATTTTAAATTGTTAACCTATTTTAAAAGCAGATTAACAAAACAAATAAAATGTTATTAAATAAGTTTTTTTTTTTAGTAGTAGTAGGACGAGTGGAGTAACCTCTTAGTGAGACAAATGTACAAAATTATCTTTTGAGTTCAAGTTGGCAATAAGCGTCATTTTTTAAAATATAAAACAGAAATTAAAAAAAAAAAAAGGTTATCAAATCAACCCGTAATTATATTTCCACTTCAAAAATAAACTAAAATAATTACTGGAAGATAATACATATATTGTGCGTGGTTTAAAAATACCAAATCAATTTCAAGACATCTCATCAGAACTGGGTTTCCTGAGTTGATTAATCAGCGTCAGTTTTTTTATTTTTTTAACTGATTACAGAAAAAAATTTTAATACACGCAAAAGAAAAAGGGCTCCAATGAGCAGAATAAGGGTTTTACAGCTTATTTCGATCATTCAGTTCTTTTGTTCATCGATCAAAGCCTAGAAAAAATTAATCACAGCTCAAATTGATCAAAGTAACAGCATTATATTTCAAGCCATTAACATCATTAATTAAAAAAATGATGCTTTTTTTTCTTTTTGGCTCCCTCAAATTATAACAATGGAGCCTGTGGACTTTGGTTAACTTCCCAAGTAAATTACAAACTCCACCACATAAATGCTATTATTAACCCCTTTAGGATTTTTGAAGCCCCACGTATCCAAATAGATTTCAACGTTCTTTTACTGCAAATTCTGGAGGAGGGTTATGTTTTTCTCTTTCTATTTTA